GTTCCCCAGACACCAAGTGTATTAAATGTGTTTAATTTTATTAAGACTATCTGAAGGGGGAAGTTGAAAGTTGAAGGGGATTTACAAGTAAAATTCCACAATAACCGATTTTACTTAATACTTCAAAAACAGATTAAAAAAGTAAGTTCTGACCCTGTCTGCTAATATCATGTGCTGAGTGATATCACTAAAAAGGTGAATTGCAATATATTTGGGTTTTTAAATACCACCTGATGTTGAGAATTAGGGTACTCCGTAGTACTAATATGAAATTGAATTTCTTATTATTAGCTTGAAATTTATTAGTTTAAAATGGTAAACAATACCTGGGTGCGTTAGAAGTCTAAGGACACACAGAAGAGTTACCAGTGTGATTAGATGAAAAGATGTTCTTTAAGATAAGCCAGTGGGAGAAGAATTCAGTAAGTAATATGCTCCTATGCAGCCTTTATTTCATTTGAATAGGAATTCTGAAGAACAAATCAGAGAATTTAATAATAAGAAATGGCACAAGAGATTAATTGATTAATCATATGATGGTCATGTGTTACTAAATTGAGGTATTACAACATTTCTCTTAAAATGTGAATCTAGTTAGGAAAAAAGTATAAAAATATTACCATTGGATTTCATATCTTATTTTCTAATTTCTAATTCTTTCTAAAGAAGAAATAAGTCTTAGTCCTACAACCACAGTTTAAGTGTCAAAATCATTGATATCTCTGAAATTTACTGCCATTTCAAAGGACATATTTCATGACCAAACCTCATTTTAAACAACTCATTTACCATCTCCATTTTAGTGTGGATTATTTGACTAGCTTATTTGACTACATCTAAAAATAATGTCCAGACCAAGTCATTTGCTGTATAATATGTAGTCGTTGTAGGTGGAAGTTATGTTTATTTCTCTTTGATTTTAAAATGAGCATTGCAAGGAGTATATTTTAGCCAGCAAAACTGTCATAAGTCACTGTCATTCCAGAAACTGTCTGCATGTCTGCATGTATGTTAAAAGTATAATTCTTGTATCTCAGGGTTGTACTTTGAAGATGAGACTAAAACCCTGCCCACTCCCTCAGATCTAGAGGTTTATAAAATAATAAGTAATGAAGGTGACTGCATTTGGTAAAATTTTTTTTCTCCGTTTAGGTTCCTGATTACTACAAAATAATCAAAAAGCCTATGGACTTGTCAACCATCAAGAGAAGACTTGAAGTGACCAGTTCATTCTACACAAAGCCAGAAGATTTTGTGGCTGATTTCAGACTGATTTTCCAAAACTGTGCTGAATTTAATGAGGTTAGAAAACTAGATACTGTATCAGGTTTTGTAGCTTTAGTTCTTTCAGGAAAACTCTAATGGGGGTAGAACTTGCAATGCAAGAATTTATTGTATTAAACTTACTTTGACAATGGGACTGCAGTGAAAATATAGATCACATTGAACACTGCTTTGGTGTTAGATGATTATGCAGTGGAGATCTTTCCACAGAAGGAAGGAGGATTGTAACAAACATGCTAGCTGAATGGCAGGATAGCAGGTAAAGAAAAGGACAGTTCCCACAATGGTGGGCATTTGATTTAAAAATTGGTTTAATCCTCCTTGCCGCAGATCTTAGATTCAGTGGGATTTTCATTCTGGGAGCTCTGAACTCACCCATATGATTTCAAGTTACATGTTGAGTGATTGTTATTATTATCCTGTGCTGCATGTAAGGGAACATGTGGAACATGTGGTGAAAAAGGGTTGTGGGTACTGAGTGGACCACAAAATGAGAGAGAATTACACTGGGAATAAAGGCTGCTCTAAGTGGCCTCAGTGGAGTTCTCATCAAGTGACCCCTTATAGCTGGGAATAATTCCTGCCATGGTGATCTCTGCTTCAGGAAACTGATGAGCTGTGGTGGCTCTGGATGACTTTAGGACTGCGTAATCTTCCATGTTACAGTCCTTGTCTACCAAGTAATATTATCACCATTATTAAAAACCGTCTGTAAGCTAGAGAAATTCTAACACCCTGAAGACATACCTACATATTTCACAGCATAGCACAACTTATTCCCCCCCCCCACGCCCCTCAGTTAGGTTTTAAGAGGTTTTAGAATCTCTTCAAATAGCTTTTAGAACCCAGGCAAGTATGGCTTTTGTGACTGGCTTCTTTGGTAATCCCTCAGAGAAAAAGGTCCTTGAGGGTGTCAGCTGAAAGATTTATGCTCATGCTGTTTTGCAGACTTGTGCTCTTTGGGACCATGTGTTCCACAGGTGCCATTCTTGCTTGCTGATTGATGTTTTCTGTAGTTTTTGCCTCAAAGACCTGATGTGAGTATAAAGCTATTTCATGATGCACTGATGTTGTTAATTCACCCAACAGCCTGATTCAGAAGTGGCCGATGCCGGCATGAAACTTGAAGCGTACTTTGAAGAACTTCTAAGAAACCTTTATCCTGAGAGGAAGTTCCCTGTACAACCCAATGTCCCGAGTGAAAAAGATAATACAGAACTCACTGATGACTCAGATGATGACTTTGTACAACCCCGGAAGAAACGCCTCAAAGGAGAAGACCGTCAGTTGCTTAAATGAGCCACATGCGTTACTGCGAAAAGTTTTTTAAAAACTGAGAATATTTATCACTGTTACCACTGTTTTGACTTGTAGGTTTGTGAATATTTACCAGACTTTCTACCCCTTGTCTGAAACAGAAATCTGTGGAGATCAAGGCATGTGAAGAGGTTCTCTGAAGTTCAAAACTTTCATCTCTTTTCTGGAGCAGCGCAGAAATTGCCATTTTTGTGGGATGACAGCTGTTTAACTTTGCTTTGAGGAAGAAATTTGTCTAGAATTGAACTTCAAAACATCACATGAGTTTAACATGTGGCTTTCTGAATTTCAAGAAAATATGATCTCACTGGACTTTTAATTTTACCAAAGGCATGTGGCTGGCCATAATTTGATCTCTTTGTACTGTATTTAACACAAGCCATGAAAAAGGATGGTGTAATGTTATTGTCCTGCAGTACTGATTGGTACAGTGAAAGTGTAGTTGCCCCCAAAGAACTTATTGGGAATTTTAAAATGTAAGGGGGGGGGTTGTATTAAAAATAACTTTTGAAAAAAGGAAGAAAAGGAACTTGTTTGAGAGTTTTTAATGGAAGAAGTAAAGGACAGAATACTTCGGTTTGCGCCATTTTTCTCACCACCAGCAAGAAACAATGGTATTGCTGTACTGTTTTGTTTAACAGGTGTCTCAAGTGTGATGTACCTCTGTTTAATAAAGTTGGTGGGAAAGTTTGTTTGCAACTATCACTCAGTCTTTGTGTATGTTTAAAGAGGGGGGAAAAAATCATCCTTTGTGTCCACAAGTTCTTGTTCTTTCTCCAAATTTATAAGTATGTTGTTGTCAAAATGCAACCATTGTTGTAACCAGTGGAAGTAACCATCGTTACTTACTTGGGAGTACACAAGTTTGAAGGGAAAGATACTGCTCTTCAGCCCTTCATCTGTCCCTGTAACAATCACCAGAAGATGAGTATGAATTACCTTATTTTGTTCTGTTACTTCCCAGAAGCTCTGACAACATAGATGGTTGGTTTTGCCCCCAGAGATAGCAGAGTTGGCTAAGTGCTTGTCTATGGTTGCCCCACTTACTGGTTTATAATCTTCATTTATGTAATCTTAAATGAAAACTGAGTGTTCAGGAGAGCAGACAGTCTTTTGGATTAATTGAGCTCCGATTGTGCTGGAATTTTTCAGCAGGAATGGTGAAGACAGCACACGAGCCTGCTTTTGACTTGCTGTGTAGCCCTAATGTGGTGCTGTGGATACATCACTGAAGAGACTGGATACAAGTGCTGTTTGTGCCTCCCTGCTGTGTACACATGCACTCAGAAAAAGGCCCTGGTTTTGCCTCTCACGAGATGCTGCCCACCTGCCTTTGTCAGAGGGTGGCACTGCACACTAAAATGTAGCGGACACTCCCAAAGATGACTCAGTTGTGTTTGCAGCAGGCCTTTGACATAGCTGTTGATCATATGGTGGATTTTTTAGGCTACCCTGAGCAACCATTTATTTTCTATTTTTCTTTCTTCTTTTGTTTTTTTTTGTTAGTTTGTTTGTGTGCTTTGTTTTTGTGAGAGTTTTATTATCATTATTATTATTGCTTTTGTGGTTTGGTTTGCTTTTTTATGGAAATTTTTTATTACCTGAAGAGAATTGCTTGTAAATTCTACTATCCTAGAGTACCAGAAAAATAATAAAGAGAGGTTAAGGAGCAGAACAAGATAGTGAGGGAGACCATTCTAGCTAAACAAGTGTGATCAGTGCACACCACAATAGCACAGACTGAAAAAATAAAGAGGCACTACCATTGCAATATTTTAACTCTTAAAGATCTAGCAAAGCCTAGAAGTCCTAGATACCTCGGCACCAAGTTTAACAGTGCTTCCAGAGGAAGAAGGTGCTGTGTGTTTCCCCAGACCATAAGTTCCAAACACAGATTTATTAGGAGGCTTTTAATGCATTTAGAGGTGAAGGTGGACACCTACTCAGCTCCATTCTCAAGTTATCCTGGTGGAAAACACTGGGGAGAGGAGAGTAGATGTACTCCTACAGTCCTTACTTGGCTGTCTGCTGTAAACTGCTTGAAAATGTGTCTCTTTAAATAATCCACTGGAAAAAATATGACTCACCTTTTATTTTGTGGTCTTGGACACCACCCTAACAATCCTCAGAAATTGTCACTGCAGTGAGGTTTGAGATGTTGAATTTTTGCTACTTCACGCAGATGGTATATGCACAAAGAGTTGAGAAAAGTATTATATTCTTTCAAGCTGCTATGGCGAAGACCATGTCTTCTTTGTATATTTTTCCCCCCTTTACCTCAATTCACTGAATGGGTTTCCTATTTTTTTTTAAAATTATTTTGTGTGTGTGTGTGTGTGTTCAGTGTCACTACTGACAGTAGTAAGGACTCATCATCTCACTTCACAGGAAGGGTAGAAAGCATCTATTTATTGAATCATAAGAAAAGGAACATCTTTGAGAAATTTGCCATTTTTCTATACAAATCATAACTTTCACACTGTTCAGTTGCAATTTTTTTATAATGGAAATGGTATGGAGAAGCAATCAACATCAAATGGAGCTCACAGGAAATGACAGATTCCAAAGGTTTATTTTTCTTTCCTACCCAGTCCAACATCAAACACTCGTTTTCATTTTACTTGCTAAAAAGGGAAAAGAAAAAATACATAAAATTAATAAAATGCACATGAAAACCAACAAAAATGGATACACTGGAAAATAATATGTATTTGGATATGTCCAAAAGGTCTCGCTTCTGACAAACAATTCCCTGACTGCTTTGAGAGTGGACTGATACTGTCCTAATAATATGAAATGAGTAGATGTGCTTTTTAAATGTCAGTGTCTAGATTTCACAAAAAATTACTTACATAGATTTTATTTAGTTGGTTCATTTTGACCTAGTTTTAAGGAACATATCTATTGCCTGGAGCCTTAGCACTAAATATTGCCATGTTAGAAGAGCTTTTACATCATGTATTTAAATCCGTGTGTGGACTGGATGACTGTACTGTGTGAGGCCCTTGGATGACACGTTCAACAGTCGGGATTTGTCAATCCCTGAATGGCTACGCGACAGAAATGTAACCTCTTAAGTGACCATGAGATAAGAGTCATAAGTTGAATTTAAGATCTAAAAGGTGCTTCTCTGCCTACACAACTAGTTCCACAGATTTTTATTTTTCTGTTCTTTTGGCTTGTGCCATGTAAAGGCCAGCAGCTGGAGTTTATAACTTATTTGTAACAAGGAGGATAATAAATTAATTGAGTTAATGCCCCAGGAAAAGAGAGATCCCATTAAGGAATGATTACACTTGTATTTTTCTCAACCGCTGTTAGCTGAAGTTATTCCAGCTGTAGCTGAATCAAAGCTTTTATATTTAAAGCAGTTTTAATCAAGTGTTTTCCTTAGTAATTATTGTAAATCTAACCTTATGAAGGCCTGAGTGGCTCTCTGGCCTCTTTGTATGGGTTTGAATTTCACCCAGGAGGGAAGAATAGGTTGGTTTGTCCATTTCTTTATGTAAACTTTGATCCCGCCCCAGTCTTCTAGGAAATATTATACAGATACTTCGAATTACATAAAACCATAAAGCACATGCTTTTCTAAAAGGCAGTCATTTAAGGAAGCAGGCAGCAATTAATTTTTTAACCCTTAAAATCCTAATGTTAATTGTCCCGTGAACCTTGGGGGAACCTTAGAAGATGTGACCCAGTGAAGTTAAGAGTGTGTGTTTGTGTGTGTTTGTGTGTGTCTGTATGTAATACATGTGTGTTTGTATATGTGGGAGTTTTGAAGTCTGGTTCCGAAGCCCTCATAAACCAGTTTGATCAATCACCTGCCATGCTTTAGGCTGCTAAAGAATATGGATCATTTAGCCCATGGTGTTGTGGTTTATACAGGTAAGACTGCAGAGTGACACAGAGTGATGTGACCATGCTGCATGCACGCCATACCGGTATAGATGAACTGACTGGAATCACAGAAGTGCTCACCACCTCCTCTAATTAAACTAGTGTGACTTGCACATGGGAGGCTGGCTGAATTTAAACTTGCCTCCTTAATCTTTGTGCTTAAGTGTTTTGGCTGTTTGCTTTGTAGAGAACACTAACCCTAAGGGCTTAGCTAATGGACTGATGGAGGTGGGGCTGTAGCCCTGACTTTGATGAAGAAATGGCTTTTGTAGTTTAAAGTGTTCTATGCATCTGCTGTCCTCTCTCCTTGCAGCACAGGCAAACCAGAACATGTGCCTATGAAGTAGCAACTTCAAAGTCTGGATTGAAGGTAGGATGCTTGCACGAGCTAGAGCTAACATGCTCACATGTAAGCTGAGGTGGCTGAGGCTGGCATTCTGGTTTATTCTTTCCACAAGAAATGAGTTTTAGGTAGCTGGAATAACTGCAACAGCATGTTCCTGTGCTTGTCTATCTGGCTTATGAAACCTCAGGAGAGTTCAGTTTGGATTCTGGCAGAATCATCAGCTCCAGTCTCTAAACAGCATTTAGATACACGGGAGCTGCTGGGGTGGTGATACACACCTGCAGGGCCCTGCCCTTGGTCTCGATGGGCAGTGTGACTGCAGAGATCGCACAGACAACACACACAGATGAGAAAAGACACAGGGCCCCAATGAAAGAAGCGTTCATAAGGACCTGCAGGCAAAAGAACATTGAACATGAGCTTGGTGGTATGGGGGGCTGGCACTTAATTAGGAATTAAGAGTGAACAAAAGGTCACAAAGAGCTGAGAGACTCCACAATAGAAAAATAATGTCTTGTGAATCTTAAGAGCTTTCAGAAAGTGACAGATACTACCAAGACGAACTCTGTGATGAGAATTATGCAGAGCTATATCTGTCAGAGATACATCCAAATACTCTGTGTACAGTTACACCCTTTTATTTGGATGAATGTCAGGGGTATCTCTCTATATTTGACAGCAATGATAGCAATGTTTACCGACATTATCAAGCATGCTCTTACTTGTGATATAAATGGGGCCACCATAGCTCCAACACGGCACAGTGACCCACTTGTTCCCATCCCCAGCGCTCGCATTGTGGTGGGATAAACCTAAAACAGGCCAGAAAGAAATTGGATTAGTGCAACACCAATCTGTGATATCTGTACTTTTTTTTTTTTTTGTTAATTTTTGTTCTGAGAGACCTGTTGTGTTATCAAAGGCAGCTAGTGGGATAAGAAATGAAAAGAAAGAAAGGCTGCTTTAGGTCTCACTTGAGCCATTACAAATCTCTCTTTTTTTGCCCCAAGTAAAGTTTTAGGGCAAGTCAATCAAAACTGGAGGTGATTCCCCTGCATTTGCTTAGCACCACTACTATCACCTTTCTCCCAGCAATGCTGGGCAGCTCACACCAAAGTCACAGAGTTGGGTGCTAAAGGAAGAATTCAATTAATATTGCCGGGCCCGTTTCTGGAAAGCAGGAAGAAAGCACATTGTCTGCAGCCTTCAAGACTGCCTATTCATTTTTATCAGCAGCACTTTTGTTTAGAAGGAGGAAAAAGAGAAAACAGATCCCAGTGAGAAAGCTCCAGGCTTAGAAGAATATGTTTTATGTAGTTTGTCTCTCACATTTCCCAAACACCTGTGCCAATAAAACACTTTAAGTATGAAATTTGTTTAACTTTTTTAAATCCTCTTAACAGATTTTAGCAAGTACTCATATAAGCCTTTGTTCAAATACTTTACTGGGCCAAGTGAATGGAGTAAGTTAATTCAATAAGAGTCCAGGCACATGGCTTAAAAGGGAATTTTCAAGTTTGGTTTTGACCATTGATTAAATTGTGAGTAGAATTGTTTTATGATGTGGCTGTTGCAGCAATGCTCTTTACATCAACACCAGTCAAAACTACTAAAATTTTGGTATTTATACAAGCCTGGTGCAAGTTTAAATATTACAGTGCACTATTAAAAGAAATATCAGGCCAACATAGAGAGCTATTTGAGTTTGCTCTTTATCACTTTACTCACTTGCAAGGAAATACGTTTAACTCCATACAATTGTTTTTTTTTTTAAAAAAAAAAAAACAAACAAAAAAAAACCAAAAAAACCAAGAATGCATACTTAACTTGCAGAACTCATAGCTCCAAAGCTGTATGAAAGACAAGCTCTCTGAAGGATTAAAACTATTTGCAGACAGAACACAGCAATTTCCATTAAGTGAAAAGAATCATATACATAATCTCAAATACTACCTCAATATTACTACATCAGTCCCTTTAGCCTGGAAAAGGTTCCTTTCAGTGGTAGCCTATTTTCTAACTGCAGGGGTTAGAGAGGGGAAAGACTGTGGGGTTTGAAAGATGGTGGTACCCAATATCCTCCAAAATAGTGGGCTTTTTTCAGCAGCTGGCTCAGTAGAGCATTCCTCTTCCACCTGCTCCTGTCATCTCCAGCTGGTTTTCTGATTCCTTCTCTGATCTTGCATGTGAAACAGTGTGGCCAGGAAGCCAAAGATACTTAGTTCAAGAAAGGTGACTAGCTAATCAATAAACTAGTAAATAGCATTCCTGGGTATATGCAAATGGTATTTCAAGCAGCATAACAAACTTCAAGGAGGACCCACCTCTGCTGTGTAAATGTAGATGGTGTTGAAGTTTGCTGAAACCAAGGCACGCAGCATGAAGAGAAAACCAACCATGCCTGCACTAGAGAGAAAGCCATGAGGGGCAGAGTTAGTATCACTGAGCAGAAATCAGCAGAGATACAACCTAATATATGCACTGTGCTCAGGCTTTTACCAGCTTAATATAAAGGAAAGCATAAGGAAAAGCTGATTGTTGACAAGTAGTCATTGTCAAGGCACGTTTGACAACAGGCTATTACATGTAAGGTTTCCTTTAAGCCAGTGTTAGAGGCTAGAGAAATGATTTGAACAGGACCTGAGTGGCTCAGCTGGTGCCCTCAGCATCATGGTCAAGCCTTGACTTCCAGCCTGGCCCTCCCTTTTGGTCCCTGTATAAAACTTTTGCAAGAAGATATTATGGTCAGGCTCAGCTTTAAGGAAACCTGAAAATACTAACAGCACTGAAGCTCACTGAATGACTGGAAACTTCCTGACATCGGCTTATTTAGCTTAACAACTATTTGCAGCCTCCACTCCAGCCCCCAAGTATTCCAGCCAGCCTCCAGGACCGGTGTTCCATGGGGAAGGGATGTACACCTGTGGTAAGCAGCCTTCAGGCTATCAGGCAGTTTAGAGGAAACTTCAATGTGAAGCCATCCTGATTTTCAGTAACCATTAAGCTCTGCCAGCTTGAGAGGGATCAATCTTACACATCCTGACAAATTACAGCACTTGTGGCAGACTTTCTCTTGATGCCTTGAGCTCTCGTGAAGGGCCTGACTCTACAAGTTAGAGCAGACATATGTAACATTTCCAGAAAAGAAAGAAAGGGGGGAAAAAAGTGAATGAAAAATATTACTTCTTTTCTAGATTGTGCTAAAAGCAGCTTGTTGTATTCTAGGGTGAAGCCATGTGGGCTAAGTAATACAAGTGAGCCCCTCTGCACACCACTGCACCACAGCATCTGCTGCCACAGCTTTCCCAGGAAGAGGGGGAACTAGTCAGAGGCTTTTTTCAGGTCTAAAATGTAGAGGGCTGGCTAGCAAGACAAAGACATACGGATATAGCTAAAGCTATGGATGAGCTGTTAGAGTATAGAACACGGCCTGTCTAGGCCTGTGAGAAGATCTGAGATAGCAAGGCCATGGCAAGGCTACAGTGGTTTTGTGCCTGCTAGTTGGCTGGTAAACAGTTAGCAAAACAAAAGCAACTGAGAGCCACCTGTGTCAACAAAAGAAGGGAGTAAAAGTGAAATCAACATTTAAGCAAGAACCAATAATGAGCTTAGCTTTTGCAATATGTATGAGCTAATTATAAAGCGTATATTAAGCTGTTAGCAGTGATCAATAAATGAAGTTTGCTGATTCTCATATTGAGTGTCCCTCTCTTCCCTCGTCGTGACACTAAAAGAATTACTGGCCTGACAGACTGGAGACCTGAGAATAATATAGGTCTCGCCCTCAGCATTGCATGACCCTCAAGAAGACCCACAGTCTGAGTCAGAGTACCTGGAGGTGCAGATATTAAGGAGAAGAAAGAATAGGGCTGTACATGCCATGGTGATACACAGGCTCAGACGTCTTCCGAGGAGATTGATGCCAAGAATGTTCAGAGGATTTACTGGAGATAAAAAGGAAAACCATAAAACTTTAGATCATCTAACTGCAATGATTGCCTGTCTTGACAGACCTTATGCAGTGTGCCTCAAAGACACCTGTCTGCATCCCTTGTGCCTACCAAATGTTCTATAAAATCCACAAACCCTATAATTCTTTTCCCATACCCAAACCCTGTAATTTGCCCCCATGCTCCTTTTTTTCCCCCTTCCCCTCAGATGATGGAGCCTGTGCTTCTTTGAAGTTGCCCTGCTGTGCTGAGGCAGGGCACCAATGCCTGTCCTGAGCCATGCAAGGAAGGCACCCGCTGGGTGAGCGGCGCAGGCCTGGGTGGTTTTCCTCCCTCTAGCCACAGCCCAGCCAAGTACCAGGGCCTGGAGTATGCCCCACTGAGTCCCCCACTAAGCCAGGAGCCCAGCAGGCGCCTGAGCACATCACTGGACTGATCCCAGCCTGCCTGCCCCTGAAGGACCCAACACCCCATTGCTTTGTTGTTCATCTGCTGAGACATGAACCAGGGAAAACGTGCACCTCTCAGGTATATTGTAACACTAGACCCACATACCACACCAAGTTCTTTCAAGAGTGCCACATGGATGCTTTAGGCCATCCTACCATCCATCCCCCAGTGCTCCCAGGCAGGCTGCACCAGGGAGCAGTTTGGTTTGTTGTAGATTCCCTGGGCACTTAGCTGTCCTTTGCTGTAGTGCTCAGCACAGTATCTGCTCCCAAGGCCACCATCTCTTGGAAAGTAGGGCACCTATGTGATACATTCAATTATGCCGATCTAACTATTTGCAATCCTTACTTGTTTATGACTTTCCAAAATCTGCATATTTGGGAAGCCAGGCTCAGTTCTGTTACATTAAGAGCAATTTCCCCTGGAGTCTAACCAAGGCTGTTGGTACGTATTAACTGCAAAGGAGGTCTTTAGCTCTGTTCCTGGAAGGACCTGTGCTGTCACCAGGAGCTGAATTATTCACCTGGGGAACAATGCCCTCTGTTTCCCCTTTGCCACGGGCTCATGGCCTGTGTCCCAGAAGTTGCCAGCAATGCATGCACAGCTAAAACCTTCGCAGTGAACTCTGGCTGTCTGCAGTAGGGAACAGGAGGGCAGGGAGGGGAGGAGAGGTTACGTGCGATCTCTCCGGCTGTGCTGATGATCATGGTCTGGTAGGCAGCGGGCCCAAACAAGTGGCAGTGGCAGGGGCTGTGGCTCTCCTCAGAGTCATCGCCAGAGTCCTGTACTGGTGGGGCTGCAGAGCCACAGACGATGTCCCGCTCCAGTAACTCAGCACTGGCCAAGATGACACCATAATAAGCGAAAGCTATGCCAAGCCTGTGGGGAGAAAAGATAAATAAGGTGCAGCTATGATAGGGAAGGTGACAAAACTAAAATGCAACAGGTTTTGGGTGCCCTGAGACCCCCACTGCATGCACCAGCTCTTAGCCTGAGCAGAGCAGTGGCTCTGGCACCCACCAGGCCACTGGTCACATGCCACCCATGGCACACACCTGCCATCTAGGTCCTTCCTTGGGGGACCTCACCCCAGGTCATAGTTCATCTTTGTGTAGGATTTGCATGGCCAGGTTTTGGTAGTGGGTGGGGAGTACAGGGGTGGCTTCTGGGACAAGCTCCCAGAAGCTTCTCCCATGTCTGACAGAGCCAATGTCAGCTGGGTGAACAGTTTTGCTGCTGACCAAGGCTGAGCCCATCAGCAACAGTGGTAGCACCTTGGGGATAATGCGTGTGAAGGGAAAAAACTGCAAAAGCAACTGCCGCCAGAGAAAGGAGTGAGAACGTGTGTGAGAAACATCTCTTGAGACACCCAGATCAGTGAAGAAGGAGGTGGAGAAGGTGCTCCAGGCGTCAGAGCTGTGATTCCCCTGCAGCCCATGGTGATGACCATGGTGAGGCAGCTGTGCCCCTGCAGCACATGGCAGTCCATGGGGGAGCAGATGTCCACCTGCAGCCTGTGGAGGACCCCATATTGGAGCAGGTGGATGCCTGAAGGAGGCTCTGACCCCAGGGAAGCCTGCCCTGGAGCAGGCTCCTGATAGGACCTGAGGATCCATGGAGAGAAGAACCCACACTGAAGCAAGTTTACTGGCAGGACTTCTGACCCCAATGAGGTTGGAGCAGCTGGAGCAGCCTGTTCCTGAAGGACTGCACCCCGTGGAAGGGACTCACACTGGAGCAGTTCGTGAAGAACTGCAGTCCATGGGAAGGACTCACATTGGAGAAATTCATGGAGGACTGTTTCCTGTGGGAGGGACCCTATGCTGGAGCAGGGGAAGAGTGTGAAGAGTCCTCCCCCTGAGGAGCAACGAATAGTAGAGACAACATGTGAGGAACTGACCACAGCCTTCATTCCGCATCCCCTGTTCCACTGCAGGGGAGGAGGGAGAGAAAATCAGGGTTGAAATTGAGCCTAGAAAGAAGGGAGAGGTGAGGGTAAAGTGTTTTTTAAGATTTCATTTTATTTCTCATTACCCTACTCTAATTTGATTGGCAATAAATTAAATTAATTTCCCCAAGCCGAATCCATTTTGCCCATGATGGTAATTGGTGAGCAATCTCTCCCTGACCCATGAGCATTAATTCATATTTTCTCTCCCTTGTCCAGCTGAACATGGGAAAAATAGAGCAGCTTTGGTGGGTACTTGGTATCCAGCCAGGGTCAACCCACCACAGTCATTATGCTTGTCATTTTGCTTGCCCCTTATTTCTGTTTCTTGCTCTGCAGCAGGTGACCTGCTGTAGCCATGCTGAGGAGAGCCTGCCCCTTCAGTCCCTTTCCTAATGCAGAGTTGTAAGTGAAGACATTTCCAAACCACCCCTTCCTGGGGAACCAGGGAATCTCAACATTGGGCCTCAACACTTTCAGTTCCCGTGAAGCAAATACCCAGGTTATTTTTTAGTCCTTATCCTTTCTACCCAGGGATTTTCAAGAGGAGTGTTCATTAACTGGCTGGAGAGGCTCACATTGCACCCTGGCTGGCTGTCAAGAATACAGAATTGGTGATGGCAGCCTTGCCTTGTCTTTATCAAGTAATTCAGCATACGCATAATCATAAGCAGGTTGAGAAGTAATTTTCACTTTTTTATTCCCCCCAGCATTTTCAGAAACAAGCAGCAGAATCTGGGCTGCCTGGGGAGGTGGGAGATGCTTGGGGCAGGGGGGGATGGGAATGCAAACCTAAGAATATGCCAGAAACTCCTGAGAGGACTAGGAGAGAAAGGAAGATTAAAAAACAAAATGATATTTCATAATATCATAACAGTCAAGAAGAAAAAAAGCATAAAAAATTCAAGGCCTGGCTAGCAACATTTTGGGTCAATGTGTTCCCACAGACCTATTATTTATACATTTCCATTCCAGACAGAAAATTCAATGAATCATGTATTACCCTCACATACAGCTACTGGGAACATTGCATATGAAACCCATTTCTTCAATCTCAATTTTCCCCAGTGAGTGGAACTGGCACCGGTTAATGTGTTTCTGTCAGAGCCCTGTTTCACCGGGACTTTGGCTGGCCTGCAAAGGTGGTATGTTTGTCTTCCTCTTGGGAAGAACAAGTTTACACCAAGAAGGGAAGCGGAGTTGTGGGGACATGGCTGGTGCATGGTGCAGGCAGGTGTGGGCTTTCTCTTGTGGCTCTCACCTGGTTCCCAATCAACCTTCCATGAGCTGCCCTGTCCTGAGAAAGGACTCATGGCACCCTACACTGCCCTGGATGTCCAGCCCTTTTCTGCCTCTCTTAACAGCAGTCAGGGTGTCTGAGGAATAGTCTGAGGTCAGGGCAGACCTGTGGTGATCCATGTCTGCACACTCCCCTCCAGCTGCCAAGGATCTGCAGTCACCATGTGAGGCAGAGTGGTGCCTTGTAATGGCAGAGTCAACAGAAGACTTCTACTCCCTGCACACTTTCAACTGAGAGAATGAGATGATAAACAAGAGAAAAAAAAATTACCATATGATCCATATCTGCAAAGTGGTTCTGAGGTATTTGGGGTGGATGAGGTCCTTGAATCTTCCTCCCCTTTCCTGCAAACCATATGTTAGAAATAGACATTATAAAAAGGGCATCTTTTATACAGGGGCAAATGGTCTGTGGCAGCAGCTGCCACCCCAGGCCTCCCTGCCCTTGCCCCAGGCTGCTGGTGGCACAGACTGACAGATGGTGCAACACAGCACCTCACCAAACCTGCAAAGAGGAAAGCCCCGCTTCCCAAAAGATGCCCACAGGAGGATGCACTGCAAAGGATGGAAGGGGGGAGAAAGAACATCCTGAGCACTCCCAGCAGGTCTCACAGATCCCAGCAGTCTGGCCCCAGTGTGACAATGATGGAGCCAGAGGGGGCTTTGGTTGCTTCTTATGGGGCCAGCACTGCTGGGGCTGCTGTCAGCTCCCATTGCCCCACGTGCTGCTCTGCTTGTGAAGCAAGTTTTTGGCCTGAAATGCCAGCGAGCACAGACACAGGTAGGCACTGGGGGACCCTGCCTGCCCTGCTGCTTCCCAGGAGCCAGCAGCTGCCCCAGCATCCCACCACTGAGGGGAGAGGAGTTCACAGCAGTGGTTTGGTTTGCCTTTATTTTTATTTTCCTCCTCATTGGTTAAGCTTGAGAGGGTGCACAACCAATAAAAATGCTTCCCACAGCCAATGTGGGTCCATTACATAAATTCAATTAAACTACAGGGAAGCTTTAATCCTAATTAATTCCAATACAATAGCACCATCTTGCATGAGTTGCTAAGGACAATGTTTGGTGCCTGTGGGATTGAATAAGCAGCAAAGAGGTCCAGGAAAGGGACTTAAAAGAGCTTGATACTAATTTTGAGGCCCTTGACAATTCATTTGTCTAATCTTCCTCTCTTGGGGTCCAAAGGAGCCACCTGACTAAGTCCTTCCACCTACCACACAGCAGAGCCCAGACTGGGGGGTAAGGAGGAGAAGCCTGGGAGGAACCTGGCCCCAGCTCCTCTCCTGCCTACCCTGAAACACCCACACACACTTGTGGGCATTTCAGTCCAGCAGTGAGCAACTCCTGAGCTGCTGAGCTGCTTACAGGTGCAGATGGTGATAGCTGTGAAATGGTCTCTCCTGCTTTGATCCTCTTCTGTTGGTCTGTGGCTCCACACTCAGGGAACCTGAGGTGCTGGGACACAGTGGACAAGCCAGACCAGGGGCTGGGAGAAGCCTCTGGCAGTATTGAGTTGACCTCATGTCAGGGATCCTTTCAGCCTGCCTGGTCACAGCCCTGAGAGGGACCCCAAGGGGCAGTTCCAAGGTCTCATGGCACAGGGAACACCCCTGTGGGACGGGTGGACAATAAGGAAGAATGTGCTTTGCCAGGAGCCCTTTTCATGGTAAAGGAAATAAATCTTTTCTTAGCACAATATTTTTTTGAGTGAACACAAACTGAGGAGAAAAAAAGCAGAAAACTCCCTCCCATTTTGAGGGCCAAGATTCCAATCTCTCCAAAAGAAAAGCCCAGGATGGATGGGCTGGGCAGCAATGCAGCCTCAACTTACCTTGGCGGGCTCCCTCAGCACCCCCTCTGGCATCGCCGCCCCATTCATCCTGGCTATTCTCTGCAGCGTGGCCAGGGCAGCCCCCATGTTTCCCATGGACACGTTGTACCGTGCCGATTCCGGGATGAACTGAAAGCAGAGTGGCGTCAGAAAGCCTTTCTGCACCCCTCTTGTCCTATTCAGCTTCCTGTCACGCCCAGGGGCCTGGTCAGGTTAGCAGGGGCACTCCATGAGCCAAAGCAGCCTTTTGGCTGTCCTCCTGCCCAGCCATGCCCTGGGGTACCCCTCCAGGTCCCTACATCCCTTGCTTGGGGGGCTCACCCTGCCCAACAAACCTGTTTCTTGGTCCAGCTCCCAGGATTCTGCCACTGAGCCACCTGCGTCTAGCACTTATGAAAGGTGGGAGCCAAAGACACAGGCTTAACAAAACCAATCCTGAATTAATTGACATTCTAAAATGAGATGAGGCACATGTGACTTACTTAAGCAAAATTCCTGGAAGATACCACAAGGCCATTTTAATAAAAAGAAAAGCATAACTGAAATTTAGGAACTAACTCACTTCTCCCTAGCATTTACAATGTTCACCCACACTCAGTGCTCTTTCCAAAATAAAATACTTTTAAATTATAAGCAATTACATCTGTATCACTGAAATATGAATTAAAGACTCATTTTTTTAGAGGTATGTACGCTGACTCAGTCTTTTTCTTTCTTCTGGACTAAGAACTTTGGCTATCCATTTTTTTTTTCTGGCAAAAATAATCAGGGAAACCAAACATCAGAGTTATAGAAGTGGACGCTCACAATGACCTTGCATTTTGCCTGCCCAGGTGGACTTGTGCATTCATTCAGCTGCAGGAAGGGCTTTTACATCTGCGTGGCTTCTGCCAGCCACAGCTCAGGACTGCAGTGCCTGTGGACACTGTAAATAGGGATTTGCCACATCACCCCCACAAATAGGATGGTTCTTATGTCTGAGCTTGATATTTCTGAAGGAGAAGTAAACCTGGGGAAGCTGTGGTCAACCTTCACATGTTCTGTGAACGCTTTACTGAGGCTGCTTTCCTCAGCCATAGAAAATGTAAAGACTGAAGAGGGCATACTGTGGCCACACTAGACTGAGGATATTAGTTGTGATTTTTTGCATACCCTTCCTAGCCTGTCTTATTCTCAGTGCCTGGCTCATCACCCCAATCCCTGGGTACTGCTGGCATCCTGGATGCTGGAACCTGGGGTGCTGAAGGACTACAGAGGAGCAGCAAAGCCAAGACATCACTGGCAAGGTGACATCTCCCCAGCAACTGGTCTGCAGCCCCACCAAGCCATCAGGACCTTACCAAGCTCCTGGGTGAGAGGGCTGAAATGGTGAAAGTAGGACTAAAGGACAGTCCCAACCTCGCAGGGGGTGGAGAGCAGTGCCTCTTGGCACCTGGGGAGACATCAGGTCAGTGGCAGTGCAGTGGGGAGTGGAGATCTTCCTACCTTGAACAGCAGGATGAGAAGGATGCCGGGAATGGAAGCAATTCTGATCAACCACCGCCAGCCGATGGTTGGGTTCACCACTGATGCCAGGCCAATGATCAACAAAGATCCTGCCAACCAAAACACCTTTTCAGGGGAAAGAAAGGAGTTAAAACATGAACTCATGGCAATGATTTGTTTATTTTCTTCCCTTCTGGTCTGATCCTATGGGTAGGTGGGAAACTGTGCTAGGGAATGCTGAGGTTCAATTGAGCCATCCCGTGGCTGTCTGAGAAGCTGGCTTTAGGTGGCAGGAAAGAGGAAAAGACAAGGATTTGGGGAGGAACAGCTGAAGATAGTCTTAATTAGCTGCAGATGAAAACAGACAACTTGCTGTGGATACCATTGTACTTAAAGCCACTTCTTTTGTCCTTCCAGTCACTTCTCTCCTAATGCTCATGCTCATGAATTTTCCTCTTGTCTAAATCTCTGCAGGGAAGCAGCGACTTACAAGCTCAGAAGGCAAAAACAGGCCAGATTTCCACTGCTGAAAGTTGGTGGTTCTCCAGTAGACTCAATGCCAAGTTATACCAACAGAGAATCTGGCCTCCAATCTGCGTGTACGTTCCTGTCTTTAGTTCACTTGTTGCCACTAGGAGACATCCCTTTCCAGGGGGCCATCCAAAGGAGCTCAGCCAACACAAATTACACAAAAATACATAGAAGCTACAGCAAGTTCATGAATAATCTGCGTGCAGAAATAACAAATTTCTAGGGAGAAATACAAGATTGTTCTTTTATAAACTCTTCTGTTTCTGATGACACTTTTGTAATGGTGCCCTGGGATCAAAGAGACTGTAGTGAAAAGCGAATTATCCCTGCCACCAAACACATTTGGTTCAACAGTCAGATAAATCTGTGGGCTCAATGGGGTCTCCACTGATCATTTGCACATGCAGCAAGTGCCCATTGCAGAAGCCTTCAGTAAACAATAACCCCAGTTACTCTTGCTGTGATCTTTGCCCAGCAAGTGGGCACAACCCTCACAGCATGTCTCAGGCCAAATTTATGACTATCTATGCTAGCCCTGTCCTGTGCAAAGCCCCTTGCCATTCCTGAGCAGGGACAGGGAGAGGCACAGATTCCCTTATCTGGGAATCACTGCATAAATCATTTTTTATGACTGGGGATCCAAAGAGAGGGGAGGATGAACCTCAGCATGGAGGGGCCTGGGAATGCCACTAGCTCCAGTGCCTGATGGTCCATCAGCACTGGTCCCACTGCAGCAGGTAACCCCATTATCAATAGGACAACCATGAGACTGGTTGGTGTCAGCCAGCATTCAAAGTTCCCATACAATGCTTGGAGCATCAAATTATTTGAGAAGATATTGCCTCTCTTCTGCAGGCAGATGCCTGTGTATGTCTTTAGTAACACAGATGCCACATTCCAGGATGCAGGAGGCAGCAGACGCTCACTCAGACCCAGACAGGTGTGAACAATCTGGGAGAAACGCTGACGCGCTGGAGACCTGGCTTGCCAACATCAGTGAGACAAATCTCCAGGGACTCACAGCTAGAAGAAACAGTAACGGGCTCGCTCCTCTTACCTGAGATAAGGGCAACATGTATCCTCGGTATTTGGTGGGCAAAAATTCCGTTTTTATGATAAGCCTGGCAAAAAAAGGAAAAAAATGCAGAAATATAGGAACACTGAGAATTTCCATACACGTCAAGTAAAAGTTTAGCTCAGCTCAACCAGTGCTGGCCATTGATGCCTACAGACAGAGTACCATCCCCCTTCCACCACTGAGCACTCAGAGACAAGGAATCCCTGCTCATTATGCCTTCCACTCAGGCAGGCACCGAATTACATGCAAGGGAAACACAAGGCATGAATCCTTTCCAGCCCACGCTTGTGAGGTACAAGCAAGTAAACGCTGCAGTCCGTACATTAGGAAACCTACAAGAAGATCCTGTCGGCTGATCGAAGTGCCAGCACAAGCATAGAGTATGTTCATAGTTTTAGTGAATTTTATTTTCATTAAATAAAGACAACACTCTGTTCCACTTTTTAAATGGTTAAATAGCCCTTGGTGCAGAGGGATCCTGGCACTGGCACCTCTCAAGCTCACAGGTGTGAATTGTGCTTCCTTGGCTGGACAGAGAGAGAGGTCGGGAAAGACCCATGTTGGCTCCTTCTGTCTCAGCTGGTGGAGTGTTTCATAAAATGTGCAATTTCCCTCCATCCTCATGAGGCTTATCAGCAGCCTCCATGGCCAGGGAATGGGGACCTTCCTGTGAAGGAGGCAGTGCCAGGAGCTCAGCCGATGCATGACGCAGGCACAGGGTACCTTCTCGTCACAACAGCAGATCTTTCCCCCATTATCCTTCCTCTACTTTAGCAAAGGGTGCTCAGACCAACATGACCAGTTCTGGGCTTTCCTGTGTGGAAAGCAACCAGGTTTTGAGGAACCATAGAAGATGCTGAAATGTTGCTTTTGTTTCCCTGAGAGAGACAAAATAGTTTTTTTACCAGGCTCCTAGGGAAGTGGTTGTTAATATTGTGAATTTCTCCTCTCCCCACCACATCCCCCTTTTTGCCCCAACAGGACAAAAAGTTTCATTTAAGTTGGAACGTTTTACATCATTCAAAAAGAATTTGCTACGTAAGCAGAATTGTTGTGACTTTTTTTTTTACAAGGAAGCAGCCTTCACTCTTCTGTTACCTGTCTAATTGTTTTTATATGTGCTTAATAATCCCTCTGTCACCATTTTAATGTAAACCAGTTGCCCCTTCTATCCCAGGCCTCAGGAGTCCCTGGGAACTGCAAATTAGGCCAATTAACCAAGATTTAGTGAAATTAGAGAACAGCATTTTGGTTATATGGGAATTTTCTCCCCTTTCCCCTTCCAGCCCCCCTGAAGGCCCCTGCTCCACCATCGCCTTCAGGTCACAGCTCAGCCACAGCTCACTGAGCTCAGTGCATGGAGACTCAGCACTCCACTAGGGTCAGCCAAGATGAGCTGGAGGGCCTGTCTTGCTGTAAACCCAGGAACTCAGCCCCTCAGGGCCCATCAGTGCCTCCGTTAAGTTCCCTGGGAAGGTGAGCTTGTCGCTGCCCGTGTCACAAGGCAGGAGGCACAGCCTTACCCTTGCGCGTGACCCGACACACCACCTCCTACCATGGCCCGCAGGAACACAAACCAGATGTAGGACGGGGCAAACGAGGTCAGCAGGGAGAAATAGGCTGCCCAGAGGAATGAAAGCAGCAGAATCTACAAAAGGGAAAAAATCAGGGTCATCAAACCACAGGCTCAGCCAGGCGCATGGCTCCTGTGGAGCTCAGGAAAAAGTGGTGCAGCCCCCAGCACTCACTCACCTTCCAGCGGCCATACCTGTCAGCCAGGAGCCCGAGCACTATGCTGCAGATCATGTAGCCAAAAAACACCATCTAAGGGGAATTGAAACACAGCTGTGGAGGGCCCACTCCCAGGAGCCCTGGGAAGCTCTACTCTTTGAACTGTGGGTGAGCTGCATGCTCCCGGGGCAGCAGGATGAACTGCAGTGCCCAGAACCATGAATAAGGCAGCTATCAGGGGATGACCTCCTTTGTGTGGGCACTCACTCCTTCAGTCCTCAAAGCTGGGGGATGGATGGTAAGGGCATCAAAATAAGAACATGGAAGTGGGGACTTGCTTTGGCATTACAGCTCTGTGAATGGACATCTGCTCTTGTCAGCTTGATTTCTGGTTTTCTACAGTTGTGGTACTGTTCTTATTCCTGAACAGAGGCCCTAGGAATTTATTTGGCCCACTGGGAAGTGTACTTTACAAAGCCCCTGACAGTGACCACATGGTGGATAACCTGTCTGGGGGGAACACAGGTCACTCACCGTTGTGACTAAAGCCACCTGCCAGTCTTGAAGCTGCCACTCACATCGGATGAGAGGGGACACAACAGTTATTAGCATGATCTCCATGGCTTCAGCCACCTTTGGAAACAAGTGTACATGTTAGCAAGAAGGGAAACCAGAAAGAGCCCACAGGGGAAGTCCCTCAGTCCTACAAGCCTGCACCTTGGCAGTCCCACAGTGTCAAAAGAGTCCTGTGAAGCCATGGTGCCTCCACAGCGGTCTGCGCCCTGTGCCTGATCTGGAAGACGCAAGCACTTGGCAACAGGGAGAGGGAGGGAGAAAAGTGCATCTAGAAAGCAGGTATCTAGGTACACCCCGTATCTAGGAAGTTTGGAAAGAGTCAGTCCTTGGCAGAGGAGACTCTTATCCTGTTGTGCTAGTGGAAGACCTTCAACTACCGCTGGAAATGAATCTGCTTGGTTAGGCAGCTGACTGTGAATTCAGGAATCTAACATAGAGATGAACTCTTAAAACCGCTTTTGATTAAAAACTTCATAGGTCCATTGGCTGTTTGCCCCAGCACTGGCTTCAGTTAGGAGTGAGGCTATTGTTTACACATAGTTACAGACTCCTACCCCTCAGCTGCAGTGATTCTCTTGAATATACCCTCATTACATCTTTACCCCAACCTGGCCTCAGGCTTTTGCCCAAGTTCTCAAACCAGATAGACCATTCACGCAAGACCATGAAAGTTAGGAAATTTTTCAGGTAGTCAAGGGTGAGAAGACAGCAGCCCTCCTGTGCTGTGTTGGACAGCATTTGGGCACCATGGGGATGACATGGAAAATGCCAGTGTGAGGTTGAACCTAGCCCTCAGCCACTACTGAAGACATGCCCTGACAGTGCCTCAGGGCAGGAGCCAAGCTGTGGTGCTCTGGGCCATCCTGCTCAGCTTTGCCCTGAAATAGGTGTGATATCCATGTGGCCAATATCTACTTTGGCCAAATATGAGAACAGCAGAAATCCTGCTTGAGAAGGTACGTGTGGAAAAAAAATGGGCTACAATGTGTGCTCCCAGTGTTTATGGTTATTATTGCACAGTAATAAGGGAAATAAGAACATTTTTTTCAGGCCAGTGCAGATGGCTGCAGATACCTACCACAGTGCTGCCCATGATGAGGAAGAGCATGATGTGGAACCTCCCAAACCCAATGGTTTCCACAGCTTCTTCCACTGTAAATGTCTTCTGCCCTGAACACCAAAGGGAAATACAGAAACAAAAACTGTCAGCAGTCAAATTGTACCTCCTCTTCATGAAATGTCAACGTTTTTCATGCTCCTGTAGCAATGAACCAGGAAAAAGACTGGAAACGTCTACCAGTTGTGTGTTCACTGACCAGCCTCTGGGCGTTCTGGTGACCAGGCATGGCAAGGGGTTACTGAAACAGCAGCCAGTGGTAATGAAGGACAGCCTTGTACTGAGTTACCCCAGCTGCTTCAGAAACCTATGGCTTGGACTGCATCTGCTCTGCTGCCTTCCCCTGCCCAAACTGCTGTGACACTCAGTCCCTCTGCACTCCTGGGATACAGTCCTTCTCCCAGCACGAGTGGTGTGAGCTGAGGGTTTCCCCAGGCCCAATTCCTGCAAGATGAGCATAGCTCTGAGCTCTGGGCTGTTTCATCCCCTAAGCCTTTATTCCTGACTTCTTTCCCCCCCCCACCCTTAACCCATTTAATGGTCAAAAGAAGCATGTCAAGATCAGGGCTGGGTCAACCCTTCTAAACAGACTTTGCAGAAAGATTTCACTATATGAATACTTTCAAACTCTTACTGAGGTAAAGTCAGAGCTGCATAAATTTTTCTGTCAGGCCATATACTTCCAAAAAAGTAATCTCAAGCCCATCAAGACTACCTCTGAAATGAAACAGAACTGACAGCAGAATTTCAGAAGAAATTGGGGATTTTTTGCAAATGCAGGCCCTCTTAGATACTTTTCAACATTTTTTTTTCACTTTAAAATACTTCTGAATTAGAATAAAATTAAAAAAAAAATAATATCCAAAATAAATGAGTCATCAAATCACCAATATAATAAAATGTTTACACAAAGCAGAGGCCTGAGAAAAGCCAAACCAGCCAGCTCTTCCCACTGCTATAGGTCACAGTCACCAGCCTGGTAGCTGTGATGGGACAGGAGTGGTATGATGCTGCTGTTTGTGGCTCCAGTTACAAAAGATTTAGGTAGCTGGAGTAGCAGGACTGAGGACCTTCCCCCTACCCCAGGTAAATGAGGACCCAGATTTCTAGTCCTGCCAATACAAACCCACCTTTTGGTGATTCTTTTCTCTCTGTGTGGATTTCCTCCATGTCAATAGCATTTTCTGCCTCTTTGGGTGCAATGGCCATCTCAGCTCCTGCTGGGATCCACCGTCAGACAAGGCAAGGTTTTAACTGTGAAACCTCTGGACAGTCACAAGACAGCAAGGCAGTTTCTTGTGCTGGAGTGGAAACATTTGGATATGGTCAAACATAGTTTGTTTCATGCAGCTACTGGGAAGATATCCCTTCCCATCATGGTTTTGGTGAAGAACAGATAGAAACTTCACAAGGTAAGTTAGTTGAACTGACAGAGATCAGTCATCACATTGCACTGGCTGTTTTTATGGAAAGTTCAGGGACTGCCTCAGGGAAGACTAGAGACCTACTAACACAAGAGAACATGTGATGACTTTCCTAGCCCAGAGGTCAATGAAATGCAGAGCCAGACTAAAAGATGCTGCATCTCCAAGAGCCAAGACATGATATGACTAGTAGGGGGTTGTCTCTGTTGGAGGCTCCCCCGTGGATGCTGGGTTTGAGAGGGTAGTAAAGGTGCTGCATCCTGTAATTGCTCAGCCTGATGGGAGCCCCCAGTGGGGCAGAGCCAGGTGATCCATCCAACTTCCTAACCCCGGCTGCTTGAAGATGGCATGGCTAGCCCAAACTCCTCCTCACCCAGCCTGCACCTTGCCAGCACACAACTTCCTGCTGCAAACTTGATCCTGTGCCTCACCCCCTACCGTGCTAATCCCCATCCTCTCAGGGTATCAAGAAACACAGCCATGGATTGTGACAGGGAGAACCTGGCTGCCTCTGCTGGTGTTTCTGGTTTCCAGTGCTAGATCCCTTGGCCTCATCACTGTTTCTTTTCCTCATTAGAAAAGCTCACTTTAATCCCAGGGCAGGGATTAAGCACACTGACGGCTTAAACCCACAAGCTTTTCTGCTGAGTGCATGCTCAGACACTGGGTGGGGGGGGGGTGTGTGCGCTTAACACATCTTCAGTTTGATGACACCTTTTGCTTTGATTACCTCCCTGTAGAGGCGCTGGGCTTGGCCCAGGCAGAACCCACAGCAAATCAGCACTGGGGAGGCTGCAGTAGGGGGAGAGCTGGAGGGAATTAAAGGCCGAGAGCATCTAACGAAAGGTACAAAACCCCAGCTGAGGTGGAGGGCAGCACAAACGTGGGAAGCATGGAGTTACAGTACTCACAGGCTGGATACCTTGAAAGCATTATACCGAGGTGCAGTCACAAGGAGGTCATTAAGGGCTAATGGCAGATTAGTCAGTCGGATCACATACACTGACCTTGCTGTTATAGATCATTACAGTCCAGCATGCAAGAGGATGTGTAGGATATTGCTTACATCTGTCTCACAGTGCCCTCAGAGGCAGCAATAGCTGGCAGCAGCACACAGTGCCACCAGCTGACCGTAATGGCCAACAGCTAGGGACCATTTCCAAGTGGAACTGGCTCAACAGAAATCAAAAAAGGTGCTTGGAAGATCCCACAAGAAGAGGTAAAGATTTACTGTGTGGCTGAATCGCAAAAGGCTTTGCAATAACAAAATCTGGGCACCAGTTTTTCTCCGTTTCTGTTCCTTTATGATTAAGGACCTGCAAAACACATTCTAAGCTGTCACATCACACCTCTGGTAAACAGCTACTCTCTTCCAAAAGCCTGTGGCAGGCACGCCAAGAGTGTTGGCAGAAAAAGGATCAAGCCCTGGGCCTTTGTCCACTCATCCTGATACTGGGATGTTCTGCTAATTTTTGCTGAGGGATGTTGGAAGATTTCATTGGCACTTACCTACTCTGGGCCATATACCCTCCTTCTGGGAAGTGCCACAACTCTTCCAGACAAGGGGAGGGAACCTCAATCCTCAGTGCTGCTGTGCAGAACTAGCAGTGAGGACCAGGTGCTCAAGCAGAAGGCTGCAGTGCCACTTCCAATACCTGACAGTAGACAGACACCCTCAGAGGTATCAGGATGTTGGATAGCACCTAATGGGAGAACCACACTACTCAAATAGCAGCAGGTGAGCAGGTGGGATATATTCTCTAGCATCTCAAATAACACTAGAAATCTTTGCAGGCACAGTAAACCTCCTAACAGTTCCTACCAAACCCAGGATTTCATGCCAAACCTTTGCAGCCCTGTTTGCCTTAATGAAACAGCTAGTGTCTATCATGCATCTTCAGGGAGCCACAAATTTTCCACTATTTGTAATTCCCAATTCCTCAATGCCAGTTACATGAGCCAGGAGAACAGCAGTGACAAAGCTGCTACTGGCAGGGAAAATAACAATCCTCCATCTGAAGGGAGCAACCAAGAGTCCAGTGAAACTGCTGCTGGGACCCATCAGAATGATGACATGAGCCCGCACCAGAGGGCTGTGAGGCACAAAGGCCACACAACGTGCACTTCTGCATGTGACACCAGCTGGGAACTCTGTCAGTAAAGTCAGAGACCTCCCTCTTGTGAGAATTCCCCTCACAGGTGAATGATCAGATACCTCCCACTATTAATCAAGACTTGATTAAATATTTATTTATTTACTTAGTGAGGTTTTCTTACCTCTGCAGTGTCTCAGGCACAGAGGAGCAGACCTTTCCTCCTGTATGACTGCATCTCTTCTGCTATTTACTTTTTACAGTGTTGGTGGTGCTGTGGTTTTGGGATCCAGCTCCCAGGAGTCAGGTTTCCTCCTTGCCGGGCACAGGCACATCCTTCTCCATCTGCCTCCACCCCCAGAAATAGGTGCTGCAGGCAGAGTGCCCAAGTGCTGATCTGTGCTTTTCCCGTGGCATCTACAGGTCCTCCACAGGTGCTGCCCACCACAGGTGTTGGTACTTGCCCATCCCTTTTTGTAAGAATGACCCCAAGTAGACGCAGGGAGGATGCTGAGGAGACCCCTACTGCAACACCAGCTGGATTCAAGCTGATGGGTTTGAGAGGCAACTCCTGCAGCATCAGTGCCCGTATAAGGCACCTTTACCATCCCCTGCAAAGCCATGAGCAGTGGTTGGGCACTGCAGCGACCAGCCCTCCTTAGGCCAGATGAAGCCAAATCAGATGCCAGCACCATCAGAAAAATAAGGTCAAGTTCATCTGCTTCATCCTTCTAAATTTCCTGACCAAGTAGCAAAATGCAGGGAGCGTTCCTGTTTGAACTGCCACAGTGATCCCAACCCTGTTGTGCAGCAAATCTCAGTGCTATGACAGCTACGGTCTCTTGACTAGGAATGTATGTGTCTACCTTTACTACTCAGTGTTGACATTGGTATAAGCCAGCAAAGATGCTGGGAGGTTTTTTGTCTTTGTATCTCATGAGGGTTTCCAAAATCCTTCTGTTTTGAAATATGTGCACTGAGCTGGCAGCAATGCTGCAATAGTTTTATCACAGAATGTAACTCCCATGCTGAATCTTATGCTTCCATAAGCATCTGGAAGACATTTGCTACCAGCCAATGTATGCTATTTCACAGCCTTATTTTACCTCTCCTTCTTAATAATATCTAGTATTCAATCATTATTGGCATCTGCTGAATGACATGCATGATGCAGGCTGCCAGATCCATACCATTTTGTTTTCATTGCAAAATCTGAGACAGTGCACATGCAATCACAGGAGGGCACAGATGTTTCAGCATTCCAGCTTCCCAGCACAGAAGGGAAAAAATGACCAAAACACCAGTGAAATTCTAAGCCATGAAGATGTGCTTTCAGGCCCAGGTGTTTTGGATTGCACAAAGGGATACTATGTCTATGATTTTTTTTTTTCAGCGACCTTATGATATTTTAATTATTTGTCATGGAAAGGCGAAGTCTGGTTAGAATAAAGCACAAATGGAAATGCCTACATGCATGAAAGGTCCAGAAGAAATAAAAGACTGAGAGCAAGAAGAAAGGTCTCCATGCTGGCCAAGGACATGATGGAGGGCCATCATCTGCGTAAACATTGAGGAAAGTGTTGTTTGCTGCAGGAGCCAGAGGCCAGACTCCAAGAAACTGACTCCTGGAGTTTATAAAAGCTCAGTCCAAAAGCCAGTTCATCATCACGAGCCCAGAGGACCTAAGGGACTGGACAAAAACTCAATACCCAAAATACTCAATACTTTCTTCATCTTCCACATCACAAAGTTGTCCTGGCAGGAGGGCCTAGGCACACACAGCAATAGCTCTTATGAGAAGGAGTAAAAAACTCAGGAAAGAATGAGTGTGGGTGACTGAAAACAGTTTGCTTGACTTTGCTATCCCTTTCCCTTCCTAGATGGTCATTCACTGAGGGTTTTTTAATGTTCGTTTCCTACAAAATGATATAACTAGTGTCACCAGTTCTCAGAAACAAACAACTCCTTACCCACAGGATGAGCTTTGGGTCCAGAAGCACCCATTCCACCCTAGGCACCAATCCTGAGTCTGCAGCAGGGGGACACGCTGAGGCCCTGGCTTGGGTTAGGTCACACCTTCTCCAGCAATGGGCAAAGTTTAGATAAAATCACTGGTCTGTTGTACTGAGAAGGCCTACTAGTCTGTAACAGTGGTCTCTGCTGGACCTGACCACATGTGATGCCCATAGTCACAGAAACAGCCAAAAAACATGGGCCCATTCAGCTTAGCAGCTGTACAGGGAAACAAACAGCCACTGCTCTGCTCTGCTCCAAAATCCCCCTTATCTTCTGCAGGAAAACCTTTGAAAAACAAGGCACTCTGGAACATCTCTGGGTTTTTAAAGAATTCTTCAAAAACCACAGATGAAAGCCAGGGCTCTCCTCAAAGTGTATCAGTGCAACCGTGCCTCTCAGCAGTATTTCATCTGAATGCTCCCTGATTATAAGTGGGCTTGGTCCACTTGTGGAGTGGGGAAGTGCCATCCCTCTATCACAAATGTTCAAGTGAGACACAAGCTCTGCTGTGTTTTTCAGTTGTGCACAGAAAAAGAGAGCTGAACATGGAATTAAGCCCAGTTTTTGAATGGCTGTTCAGTACAGTAAACAACAGACCATCTCATCACCTGCAGTAATCACAGGATAACTTGCTTTTCTTGCTTAAAATGTAAACCTCAGACAAAAAGCAAAGCACCAAGAAGTTCTAAAAGGAACAGATATTCTGTTTCTGGTAATCACCTTCTCAGTTACACTGCAATCACATCGAAAGGTGTAATAAAGATAAAATGTGTATTTGTGCAGAAAATTCACCCGCTGTTTCGTAAAGCAAATGGTTTTCTCTGTGTTTGGTAATGCATCAAACTACTTTGGCCTTTCTTGCTGCAAGACTGCTTTTCTCCTGAATAGGAATAAACAAAACAGGCTGGAAGGAAGAAACAAAGGTGATGAGCATACACTGAGCAACTGTGACACCATCTGCAGTGATATCCATGTGGTTTTTGTCTGTATTGTAGGTTACCCATGCCCAAAGAACTGGTGACACAAGACCATGAAAGGGTCATGGACACACTCCCATGCCCACCTCTTCTCAGCTCCAGCTGCTGCTCCTAACCCAAGCTGTTGCTGAAAAAGGCTCGTGGCTCTGCTGGCAACCAGCGCCCAACATCAGTGTGGCTTCTTGAGACCAAGAGAGAAAATTAGAACAACTGCTTTGCCTGGGGCTGTATTTTCTCCCCTGTCGCTGTAGCTGAAGGTGACTCTCAAGCCTGAATACTGCAGAAATATTACCTGTGATGACTCATTACACTGTGTGTCCTGCTGGGACCACTCCCAGGTTGTTTTTTTGGTGGAGCTGGATATCAAGGGTGTGAGGTTTGAAAATAAGGGCTTGTTTGGTCACACCCCATGAAAGGGAACACTGTCCACTCCAAGCCCATTGGTGTGCTCTGTTTTCTTTACATACTTCATGGTTAAAAAAGCATAGCCTGATTAACACTATTCAGTTTGAAAGATTAGTAATTCATGAATATTTAGGAAGATCACAGTACATCAGTACTTCAAATTCACATCAACTGCTTTGATTCCACTCTTCTTTCTGTTCATTAGGTATTAGCATTTCTGCATAATCTGCTTTAACAACCCATCTTGAAACATACAGCACAGGAGGAGTCATCTTAAGTCTCCAGTGAGAAACAAGCCAACAGAGATAAATAAAATGGCTGAAAATGTTGAAATGGGTGCAGTCTTTTGTTTACATGGCTCAAAACTAACACTTTTGTTAAGTGATGATGTGTGCAAACATCTATAATCCAGTGCTGTCAAGCCCTGGAGAAAATCAAATAAAAAGGTTATTCTGGTAAAGCATGTAGAAAATTGCAAGCCTGCAATACAATCTGTCTTTGAGCTGGTTTGCATTGTGTGCTAAATGATGGGCTACAATCTTGTAAGGGACTTAATCATGTCACATGATCAACCACAGCTTAAAACAACAGCCAAAACATACTTTCCTCTGAAAGAAATATACCACAAAGACAAGGCAGTAAATGGAGCAAAATGTGTGAGTTGATTATTAATAAGTGGTTTAATTCAAAAGCTGCATCTCCTCTTTTCAACCAAGCAGTAGGCAGCTGACCTCATCAAATGCTGAGGACCAGGTACTTGGCAAAGACATCAGTGGAGACACTCAGCCGAGGGTCCAGCCAGCCCAGCTGATACAGTTCAGCTCTCAGTTGATACAACAGTATATTGGAATGTAGCTATTACATTTTCATCTGCAGGTGCTCTTCTTTCAAGGGCCACATCCCATTCTCTTTCATCCCATATACCCTACACTGTGGGTGAGTGACCACAAGGAAACAGAGCCTGGTCTGAGGAGTGAAGCAGTGATGCACTGGCTTCAGTCTTCTGCAGTGCCACTGATGATGTGCTTGAAGGAGAATGGAGAAAATTTGTACCCGGCTCCCACGTAGAACTTGTTCTGAAACTCCACCCTGGGGAGGAGCAGAGGAAGGCGTCAGTGCTGCTCACGGGCA